ACGCAATTTGAGAGAGTTTTTAATAAACCGTAGTTTTGCAAAATTAAAAAGGGCAGCCGCCCCCCCCTTCGGCCCCCTCCAGATAAATTTTCTAGCTACGCCAATGCCAACCGATGGAAACTAACGATTTTAAATTGGCTCACTCCTTGACTAGCCTATTGGTCCCAAGCAAATCGATTAACGTACCCCATTCTAGTCGAAAATCTACTACTACACTATGTTTGTTTTGATTCGTTATGAAATTTTGAAAGATAAAATGAGGGGTTCGTGGATTTTTCTATGTTTCGAGGGGTGAATCGATTAGCTTGGGACCGAAGATAGTACCAGAGCTGAGCCAAAAAGATGAGCTCGATTCTTCGGGACCTCCTGGTCTTAGAGTTACCTTTATGGTTATTAGACTGATGCAAAATTTGAAATTTTCGCTCCACAGTGCTCAAACGGTTTCAAATCAGGTCCTGATTAGCCTCTCAAAATTTAAACTTTTTACAAACTATTCGAAATTTATATGGAAATTACTATGGAAAAACCAAACTTTTTGTTCATTGTCTTCTGCTAATTTTCCATATTGCTTTTTCGAAAATTTATGTAATTAATCTTACGGGAAATTTTCTAAGCTACAACTTTGCGGAATATAGTTTTTCAGCCAAATGTCAAATTGAATTAACTTGTTATTAACTGTTTAAGAGATTGATAATCTTATTGCATGATCAAGCAGCTGTTCTGTGGGCAACACTGTATTCTGCAGTGTGACATAGTAGCCATGATTAAAGAGCCTAATTTTATAAAGAGGCGACATGTCAAAATTGGAACAATCGATTGTCTGTCAAAGTCATATGAAAAGTCATTCCAATCGAGCAGAAGACCTGTCAAATGGATAAGATGTCGTCTCTTTATAAATTCAGGCTCTTTAGCCATGATATTTGTGCTCTATTCTTCGAACCTGTTGCCTGCTGAACAGTTGAATTAGCATAGTCATAAGACATCAGTGACTTGAATCATTAATAACTTTTGTTCCTTACATTTGATTGAAAAGTGGTTTTCAACAATGTGTGTTATGTGATGAACTAGCCTACGGCTAAAAATCACAAAAATAAAAAAAAAATAAAAAAAAACAATGTTGTAGCTATCATTTTTAAAAGCATAGTGATGTGGTGGATTGTTAGATAGATATGAACAAAAACAAAAGTTTTCCCATAGTAATTCCCATATAAACTTGAAATGGTTTGTGCCAAGTCAGTTTCTTAATAAAGTAGTTCAAATTTTGGGAGGCTAAGCAGGACCCAATTTGAAACCGTTTAAGCACTGTGGAGCGAAAATTTCAAATTTTGCATCAGTCTAATGGTTATACAACTGAGGTAGGGTTACCATATGGTATCCTAAAGGAGGACATGTCCTCCTTTTTCAACATTTTTTCACATGTCCTCCTTTTGCCTCAAAATATCCTCCTTTTTAATCCTTGAATATTTTCAAGCAAGATTTTAATAAATAAATTTTTCATTTTATTTTGACGCCTCATCCTATTTGAAAGGTTTTGAAGTTTTTAAACTGACGTTTTAATGCAAAACAGTTCATTAGTTCATTTCCAGGTATGTACAGAACCAGTCATATTATAAAGGGTCTAGTATAGGAAAGGAGCGGACTGGCTGGTTTTGAGCCAAACGAACTGTCAAAGCCAGAGCCAACCGAGCATCGCCTATCTTGATTCCATTGGCAGTTTCGCCAGAAACATCCCAGGCAGATGTTGCCAAGGCAGTTTGTTTTGAATCTGCTCCTCTCTTAAAGGGCTCATTGTAAAGTGTTTGTCTGTCCAAAAAAGTTCAAAGAGCTGTAATTTTTTAGTATGTGCATTTAAATTGCTGAAATTTAGGCTGCTGGTTGATCAAATATTCAAAATTTATCAGTATTTTTTAGAGCGATGATGAGTTGACTCTACATGAAGTATGAGTAATTTCAGTAAAACGAGTCTTGTTTGAACACCGTTTAAAAAATTGTAATTTCTTGAAGCACAATCAATTCTTAATTTCAATTCAACTTAATAAGTTCATACCGTTAATTTGTTATTATTCAACCAACCAGCAGTATCAATTTCAGAATTTTCAATACCATAATATTAAAAAGTTGCAGTCCATTAGACTTGTTTAGAGGGACAAAATTCCAGCATTAGTGCCCTAATATGACCGGTACTGTATAATTAAATTTGAAGGCTAGGTAGTAAGGTAGAGCACTACCTCGTCGTAATCATCCATTTCCGTTCTATCGAGCAGAAAACATCAGTATAATCAATGATTTCACCGTGCACAAAACAGTAATACGATTGTACTGATGCGTTAGTTCACAAGCTACAAAACGAAGCCTATTAGAGCGTATTGGCTGAATATTTACACTCATTGTTCTCAAAACAACAGAAGCGCTCCTAGCAAACTCGCTTTTTCTACCTTCATCCGTAGGACGAAGAAAATCCAATGGCGTTTCAATGCGTTTGGACGAAATTGAAATTCGTAGGACGAATATGGAATCAAGAAGCAGTGTTAGATTTTTAACAATATCTCAACAATGTGTGGCTCTTTATCAAATTCAACGGTACTTTGGAAAGGGGAATAAATTTAGAAGTCATCTTTGATAGAAACATTTCATTTATTGTTAAAACCCCGTTGAAGAAAGAGAGATAACGCGTGGGTTGTGCTTAGTAGGACGGAAATTAGATCAAAAACCCTAGTATCCGTTAGAAAGGATTACTGCTTTTTAATTGGACGTAACCCAATAGACAAACTACCAATTACCGAAAGGGAACGTAATGAATTTTCAAATTTATTCGGTTTAAACGAAAAACCTGCTTTTGAATTTCCAAAAAATTATGACGTCCCCTTTTTCCTTTAAAGAATAATGATTATAATCGAATTGATGACGACTACACTACACTACACCTTTTGAAAATCATAAATTTTGAGTAAGTGCATATGTTTTCAAAACGTTCGATAAAAACTCGTTGTCCTCCTCCATTGATGATACAAAATATATTCTATGTCCTCCCTTTTCTCTAAAATTGAAATGAAATGTCCTCCTTTTCAATTTTTTGAAATGGTAACCCTACACTGAGGCAACACAAAAAATAGGTCAACTTTTAGTCAGCTATTTTACATGAAGTTTCACATATGTTATGTGCTACCTTGCAGCATTTTGAATGGTATGAACTCATGTATAAGTGACATTTTGTTAATTTTAATTATGCTGGCGGATTAACCTTAATCATTGAAATAAAACGCCTAAATGCATACTAGGTATCTCCAACGTTTGGATAGGATTTTTTTAATAAATGTAGACCAACAATTGAAATAGGCGGAACAACCAAACGTAAACAATTGCTTTAAACACAAAATTCTCGAGAATTAAAACACCCCCACACAAACTAACAATACCATTCTATAAAGGAAGTTTGCTCTATCAGATGATGGTATTAGATTGCTTGGATGTGCTTTGATTCTCGTGGAATTTGCGTTTAAAGCCATTGTTTACGTTTGGTTGTTCCGCCTATTTCAATTGTTTAGGAATGATTATGTGCAACATCTATTAATGCGAACCGGAGACGAACCAGCCCATGGCTGAAAGTCTTCTTAATAAAGATATAAATATATTAATATTATATATATATTAATGCGAAAATACATATTATTTTTAAATTTTACCGACAGGACTACTTTTCACGGCAATATTTATGTATATTGAGATTTAATGTGATTGACATGAAGACGTTTTTTAAAGAACTTATGGGGTTTTTCGTCACATAAATCCAATGTAAGAAGATTGTGGTCTTAACCCTGGTGGAAGGATACATTTTTATTACCTGTAATTTTAACAAAGTTTGTATAATTTGGTTTCAGAGTCAAAAAATTGTAAATCCAAGTGGTAAGTAATCAAACCACTTACCCCATATCCGGGGGAAAGTATACAAAAAACAATGCGTGTCAATATCTTATAATTCTGCGTTTTATTTTTAAACTGCCCTTGTTTTGAGACATACAAACGATTTTAATTATACCACATGATTGATTTAAATTTAATAAACACAATCTGGGTGCCTAGCAGGCTTTAAAGAAAACTGTTGATTTTTCCGAACTCACTTCCCCCAGTGTATTTTATGTTGCAGATATTTATAACCATTTCAAACAAGTTCCAGAAGCCGAATTTTGCTTCTCATAAGGTTCAGATGCTGAAAATAGTTCCTAATAAGCTGCCTACAGCATGGGCATTTGAGTAGGTCAAGCTTGTATGATGGATTACAAGCCTCTGGATCTCATGCTCTTTCGATTTGAATTGATGTTCCCAACAACTAGCCAAATTAGAAAGAAACTTGGCAATATAGGATTTCGGGAGCTTTTTAAATTTTGTAAAACTGATAGAACATATTTATTTGCTTGCCGAAAAGTTTCACATTGCTCATTTTAAACTATACCTGAGACTTAGATTTGATAAACAACTTGACCGAAGACCACACATCGATTCGACTTATTTGCAAAAAGTTATTAATCAATTACCTGGAGGCACCATATTCGAAGCGGTTCCTAAATCGACGCACTCAATAATGTTCGAGTATGTATTTTCAATAATTATTTTTGAAATGTTACTTCTGCATATATTAGTTTCAGTGCTCAAGGGATGATGGTGTAACAAGGTTTAAAAAAATATCATGTCAAAATCGAGATGCGATCAAAAATAGACGAGTGCGTCATCATTAGGAACGCGTCAAACATAGTGCTGGCACGGTAATATTTTTCTGTGTATACAGACGTATACGAGATCAGTGGAGCTAGATTCTAAATGGCAAGTAACTTTTTGCAGAGGCTCCTAATCGTTCTGCATAGAGTAAGCCCAATCAAAATCTCAGTTATGGGCAATATTGAGCAATGTGTGTGTGAGCAAATATGTTCAGTAATATGTGATCAACATGCCTGCAAAGTATTCATGACTAATCAAAATGTGTGCATTATTCAATATTTACTCACCGCACTTTTTTGCAGCAAATCGTACGCCTCCTGGAAGTTGTTCTCATCGAACAACTGATCCGAGTGCTGTATCGTTTCGCTCATATTCTTAGCAGTTTCATCGGCCATTTTCGAGCTGACTTCTTTCTCGGTGGATTCCTTCTTCGAACTACTGGACGAGAACAATGAAAACGATGCTAGGAATGTAATCCCGGTAGTAGCACTAGTACGTGTTGGTTTCGCCTCAATGGATTTCCACAGCTGCAAAAAAAGGGATGCACGTAAATTAATCTCTTTTTCGACGAATTGACTTCACAGTAACGGATTATTAATAATTCACTCCTCACTGGTTTAAAACATTTAATTTACTATGGTTTTATATCCAATTGATAACAACACCGATAATCAACCGACCCAAATTAAACTCACACGCAATCAAGTAACTTAAGTGATTTCAAGTGTTGGACTTTGAACTGAGTCTTCCAACGAAGAAGACGACGATGGTAGCACTATCAACACTACTGCTCTCTGAACGGGATAACATTTATATACAGTAATATCGCACTACAGACAGCTGAAAAAACGCAAACAAAGTGCTTAGTCAGATCAAAACTCCAATTGCTCACCCTGGTGGTGTGTTGTAGAAGAGCCTGATGCAGTCGCGAGATGACGAGATCAGTATTGTTGCCCCGTTGTTGCTGCTGTTGTCTCTGCAAGTAGCTTCTCCAGCTTTGTGCCTGAGCTAGGGTGGTTACGTGTCTTAGTGCTATTGCACTAGCAATCAGCAGCCGTCGAGCGTAGGAACGTTGAATCACCATTGCTATTATTTGAATACTGAACAACAAACACAGATCTGATATAAAGGACTGTATACGGCAAACGAATTAACTTTTACGAAAAGAATGAAAACAGCAAAACACAAGCCGTCGTCAAAGACGAAAGAAAGTTGATGATACCGAGTGTAAAAACATAACACGAAATAAGCGATTGGCTGCAGCACGCAAACATACGCAGGCAGCGCTAACACATATATTTTGCATTATATGTACTAACACTGATGGCGGTATGCTCGAACTCGGATTAGCTTTTAATACCGTCACTGTTTGGATGATCTGCAAAATGTGTGCTTAAAGTCGCGTTGATTAACTCGGTTGTCGACATCAAAGCAGCCGGACAGTCTTGATCAGGATTTAATCCGAGTTGTAGCTTTCCACCATGAAACAGATTCGAAAATTGAAATAGGGGAATTTACGTATTCTCGTCAATCTAAGCAGCGTCCGCACTTCTAATAGCATTTTCACAGCGTCACGCACATATTTGACGTGTCTGTTTGTTTCAATTCATCTGCTGCTTGCTTCTCTATCCATTCCAATCGACAGAATTCTTCAAAACTGATTGAAAGCGTTTTTACAACGCTCTAAACTTCTCAGGTGAGTGTGACTATTGTCGTCAGCCTCTTTTTCTTCGGCAACCTTCCCATTAGAACTGCGTGTTAACCAGCTGTTCTATTATCGGCAACTCGAAATCAGCCCCATTTTGTAGTACGTATGCTTCATTTGAAGAAAAATCTGGCATAACAAGATTGCTCGGTCCTACAAATATAATCAGATTGAAGCTGAAAGACTAAAGAATCGTTTGGATATATTCAGGGAAGTGTGTTGATGGTAAAACATAGTGAAATTAACGTTTAAATTTTGGTTGCCGAAAACAGTCAATGGGTGCCGAAGCCGACATTTACCCTATATTAAATAAATGTCATGAGCAAACTAACGCCAACTACGATAAAAAAAAACTAGGAGAACAATTGAAATAAACGATTGTGACCCGAGTATCTCGCCGAGTATATAATAGTCAAAACACTACCTAAACAAATTCAATTTTCAAAACACTACCTAAACAATTTCAAATACCATGATTTTCTTTGTTGGAAACCATGAATTTCGTTGTGATGTTGATAATGGACAAAAATGTTCTATGTTTTGGCAGTACAATAACAATGAAAATCATTGTATTTTGATTGGATTTTTTTTACGGGCTCGCAGTGCTGAGTTGCAGTTTGGCTGGGTGAGGTACCCCTTGGAGCCGCACCTGCAGCTATACAGTGTTCCAACCTGGACCCGAGAGAGATCGAGAAAGTCAAGGCCGGCCAGAAGCAAGACTCCCCAAACGGTACTCTGGAGAGCTGAACGGACGCGATATGGTTTGTCCTGTGGTGGGCGTACAACACCCAGGAACGGGACCTTATGCGCAGCCAGGACTATCGGTTCGTCCACAACTGAGGAACGTGACTAAGTTTGCGGTAATTTACTTTACCGACGATAAGAAGTACGACTTGCTGTAGGATTACTATGCCCTGCACGTCACGCTTCACTTTGAAGTTTATAAAATACTTTCATCGTCACTCTACACTCTACAGAGCGGCTCTGCATCGATGGATCCTGTCCCGACAGGCCAACTGCATCGACATATCCAACAAGGGCTTCGAGGAATACTAATTTGCTTAAATCACTGTTCTCCTAAAACTAGACAGAATCTAAAAGATAAGAAAAATAAAACAGCGAGAGTAGAATGTTTTTTGACGTAGGATTACGTCTTCCGGCAACATATTGGGCGTACAATTTAAAAAAAAAACAAAATGGACCGCGTTACGAAAAGTGGTCAGGTTTTGACTAGTTATAACTCTGTCAATAGCGGATGGATTTTAATTCTAAACAAGCCAATCGATTGTAAATTTTTCTACAAATCTGCTAAAATGAACACTTTATAAATTTTCAATAGGTCACTATTGAAAATTACACAAATGTCCAACTGTTACAATGGTGATCAAATTATCACCGATTGCCTGCAAAAAGCGCTTTCCCTAACACAGATTTAAAAATCGAATTCCATCCGGTCTCACTGAACGGTGATTATTCAATCACCGTGTGTGGTGGTGTTCGGTTGTTCGTCAGTAGCAGTAGCAGCAGCAGTGCTTCCGGTGCGTGGCGTTGAACATTGTTCTCCAGTACACAAAGTGCGCTGAGCCCACAGCCCATTCACCGAAGAAGGAGGAAGAAGCCACACCGCTACTGATCGGAATCAATCGCTCTTCATGTGTTGCTGTGGACCATCTATGCCAAGTGCGTCACCCTCGTTCATCAAACAACATACAACTCACCAGCCTCATCTGTGTTGAACACCCTAATAGCTCAGCATTACTCAACCATCATGACAAAAGGGTCCTTTTCAGGACCACCTTACATTTGTTAGAGTATTTTCTGGACATTTCATCAAAGTTATCAATCGGATGTCAGTTTCCATTTGTTTAAATCTAACATACCATGTATTTTTAAGGCAACCAAAGTCGGTCGCGGCATGAAATTGGTCTGATTTTGATCCAGAGATGATGGATTTTTATTCATAATACTCCAATCGATAGGAATTTTTTCTTCGAATCTGTTAAAATTAAGACTATCAATTTTCAAAAGGTCACGATTAAAAATTGCATGAACGTGCAACTGTTGCTATGATAATTAAAATTATCATCGATTGCCTTTTTGATGCAATAAAATTCTTCCCGAATTTTCTTAATAAAGGCCCTAATAAACAAATACCATTATAAACTGTATCCCGGATGAGTAAACTATCCCATAAATGGTTTGGATGATACCTTGATCACATCGTTAAGCTCTCTTTTATGGTTATTTTTATTAGGGGAGGCTTAAAATTTGCATCAAAAAGCTTGAACGTAGGTACCATCCGGTATGCTCAGATTCTGTGATTGATGTGTTTTCCCTAACACAGATTTAATTTCCGAATACCAAAATTGATGGTTAGTTCAATCTTTTCAAATTTCTACAATTGTAGCATAGAGGTAACTCTAAGACTAGGAGGTCCCGAAATAACGTGCTCAACTTTTTGGCTCAGCTCTGGTACTCTCTTCGGTCCCAAGCTAATCGATTCACCCCTCGAAACATAAGAAAAACCAATAACCCCTCATTTTATCTGTCAAACTTTCATAGCGAATCAAAACAAACATTGCGTAGTAGTAGATTTTCGACTAGAATGGGGTACGTTGACGGCTACTCCCGCCTTGAGTTGTTACATTCAAAGTGTTTTTTATGTTACTTCATACGCGAAGTTAACGATTTTCAGAATAGGTTGGAAATGCTAACATGAAGCTTTAGTGTGATGATTTATTAGCTAGAGAATGATCTTTAGAAGAGGGTAGGTGGATAGTTCCGTTAGAGTACGGCAGTATGAAAATTGAATAGAAGTTGAAAATGAGCGAAGGGCCATTAAAGCGACAGTTTTCAAGATAGACGCACATTTTTGCCTAGCCCGTACGATGTACGCGGGGACTTGAAGTATGTCTCCAAGTCCACAGCCCACAGCCGCAGTCAGTTTATGAGCAACAAGAGGGACGCACATTTTTGCCTGTGGACTTGGAGACATACTTCAAGTCCCCGCGTACATCGTACGGGCTAGGCAAAAATGTGCGTCTATCTTGAAAACTGTCGCTTTAATGGCCCTTCGCTCATTTTCAACTTCTATTCAATTTTCATACTGCCGTACTCTAACGGAACTATCCACCTACCCTCTTCTAAAGATCATTCTCTAGCTAATAAATCATCACACTAAAGCTTCATGTTAGCATTTCCAACCAACTCTGAAAATCGTTAACTTCGCGTATGAAGTAACATAAAAAACACTTTGAATGAAACATAGTGTAGTAATAGAATTTCAACTAGAATAGGGTACACGCTTATTCTGGTCAACTCAAAATTGAGTCGAATGTGCTCATCTCAGCGGCAAGTATGGCTACTCAAAATTGAGTAGTCTTATGTTGACTCACTTTTGAGTAAACTACGTTCTCACGTAGACTGAGTCAAATCCACTCACCGGTATTTTCAGTTGCAGGGAGAGTTTTTGTTTTGATTTTTATTAAAGGAAATGAAAATTGCCTGCTCCGGATTCATTCTCCCGGAGCAAAAACCGGTCCAACACCGTTTCCCTAAGCAATTCGTACTTACTTGAAGGCATTTCAGCAAGTTTTGAGTAACATTTTCTATGAGGTTTCCTCCGACATGACTGGCATTTTTTCCAAGTCCAGGATTTTGCTGACTGAGTGGCTTTTACTCAGTTTGACATTTCTCGTTTACTCAATTTTTGACAACTCGATACATTCGACGAAAGTGAGTACGATCGACTCACCCGGTGAGTAAGCTGAATTTAGCGTGTACGTTAATCGTTTGCTTGGGACCAATAGGCTACTAAAGTGGTGATCCAATTTTAAATCGTTAGTTTCGTATTGATTGTTGGTATCACTTTGTATGGGAGTGAGCTGTCAGTTATTTTTTTAGTTTTGTGTCAAACAGTGAAGTTATTAATTTGCTTTAAATTTTGATTTAAATACCGAGATGAAAGTGTGTGGGTTCGAAAAAAATATCGCTGTGCTCAGAAAACGAAGGTCTTTCAGATGATGTAGAAAATCCAATACATTTTTCAAAATTAAAGAACCCAATTGAGGACTACTATGCCATCACCCTTCACCAAAATGTTCACCAATCGATCCAGGTGCAACGCATGAGGACCGCTATCATCTCCAAGAACATCGAAGAAATAATTTCTACAGCATTGTTCTAAACTGGCTTAGAAGCCTTCAACTTATCGGTCCTTTTCAGGACTACAAATAAAAGAGTTGTAATGAACTTGAAATTTAATGAATTTGTCTTTACAGTGTAACAGATTCCTATCCCTCTTTCGTCTTCAAATGGGTTCTATCTTTTCTATATGTAAGGGCATCTTTAGCGGTGGTCTGATCTAGATCCAAATTTATGTCACATTTGAAACAGCTAAAATGAAATAGATCAAGCTAAAAT